ACATATGAATAACAAATCAAGGGATTTTTTTTCGAGTATGGTTTGACCATCTTTGAGCATTTTTAAAGTATTTTCCCAACCCTCCCTTGGTTGGGTACTCGTTTTGAATAGAGCACTCTGGTCGCCCCGTCCTCCCGCCCACCTCCCTCCCGCCTCCTACCTCCTCCTCGCGGCGCCCTCTGGGAGGCTGCGATCTGCGCAACTGTCGCCACTTTCGTGGGCTCCTGGGAGGCCCAGCGGAGTTGCGATACACGCGGATCACCTCGGGACCTCGCGGCGCCCTCTGGGAGGCTGCGATCTGCGCAACTGTCGCCACTTTCGTGGGCTCCTGGGAGGCCCAGCGGAGTTGCGATACACGCAGATCACCTCGGGACCTCGCGGCGCCCTCTGGGGGGTTGCGATCTGCGCAACTGTCGCCACTTTCGTGGGCTCCTGGGAGGCCCAGCGGAGTTGCGATACACGCGGATCACCTCGGTACCTCGCGGCGGCTGGGGGGTTGCGATCTGCGCAACTGTCGGCACTTTCGTGGGCTCCTGGGAGGCCCAGCGGAGTTGGGGTACACGCAGATCACCTCGGGACCTCGCGGCGCCCTCAAGGGGGCTGCGATGTGCGCAACTGTCGCCACTTTCGTGGGCTCCTGGGAGGCCCAGCAGAGTTGGGATACACGCGGATCACCTCGTTGCGATGTGCGCAACTGTCGCCACTTTCGTGGGCTCCTGGGAGGCCCAGCGGAGTTGGGGTACACGCAGATCACCTCGGGACCTCGCGGCGCCCCTCTGGGGGTTGCGATCTGCCGCAAACTCTCCCACTTGCGTGGGCCTCCTGGAGGCCCCAGCGGGTTGGGGATACACGCGGATTTCACCTCGTTACCTCGCGGGCGGCCTGGGGGGCTGCGATGTTGCGCAACTGTCGGTGCGCAACTGTCGCCCACTTTCGTGGGCGCCGGGAGGCCCAGCGGAGTCTTGGGGGCATCAGATCACCTGTGACCTTCAACGGGCGCCTCTACAAGGCCCCCCTGGGGGGTGCGATCTGCGCACTGGTCGCGGCATTTTCGTTGGTTCCTGGGAGGCCCAGCGGAGTTGGGGTACACGCAGATCACCTCGGGACATCGCGGCGCCTGGGGGGTTGCGATCTGCGCAACTGTCGGCACTTTCGTGGGCTCCTGGGAGGCCCAGCGGAGTGGGGTTACACGCGGATCACCTCGGGACCTCGCAGCGCCTGGGGGGTTGCGATCTGCGCAACTGTCGCCACTTTCGTGGGCTCCTGTGAGGCCCAGCGGAGTTGGGGTACACGCAGATCACCCACCTCGGGACCTCGCGGCGCCTGGGGGGTTGCGATCTGCGCAACTGTCGCCACTTTCGTGGGCTCCTGGGAGGCCCAGCGGAGTTGGGGTACACGCAGATCACCTCGGGACCTCGCGGCGCCTGGGTGGGTTGCGATCTGCGCACTGTCGCCACTTGCGCGTCTCATGGGGCCCACGGAGTTGGGTACACGCAGATCACCTCGGGACCTCGCTGCGACCTGCGGGGGGGGGGGGGGGGGGGCGTTCTGCGCAGTTGTCCAGTTTTGCGTGGCTCATGTGGAGGCCCCAGCGGAGTTGGGGTACACGCGAAATCAACCTCGGGACCTCGCGGCGGCCTGGGGGGGTGCGATCTGCGCACCTGTCGCCATTTTCGTGGGCTCCTGGGAGGCCCAGCGGAGTTGGGGTAAACGCAGATCACCTCGGGACCTCGCGGCTCCCTGCGGGGGGAGCTGCGAACTGCGCAACTGTCGCCATTTTCGTGGGCTCCTGGGAGGCCCAGCGGAGTGGGGTTACACGCGGATCGCGTCGGGACCTCGCGGCTCCCTGCGGGGGGGGGGCTGCGATGTGCGCAACTGTCGCCACTTTCGTGGGCTCCTGGGAGGCCCAGCGGAGTTGGGATACACGCAGATCACCTCGTGGGGGGGCGCGATCTGCGCAACTGTCGCCACTTTCGTGGGCTCCTGGGAGGCCCCGCAGAGTTGGGGTTACACGCGGATCGCGTCGGGACCTCGCGGCGCCGTGTGTGGGAGTGCGATCTGCGCAATCTGTCGGCACTTTCGTGGGAGCCTGGAGGCCCAGCGGAGTTTGGTGTAATAATCAACGAATAATCACCTCGGGACCTCGCTGCGCCTTGGGGGGTGTCTATCTGCGCAACTTTCGCCACTCTCGTGTTTTCCCGGGAGTCCCAGCCGGGGTTGGGGTACACCTGCGGAATCAACTCGGGACCCGCTGCGCCTGTGGGGACAGGGGGAGGGGATCTCCACTTCCACCACTCTTCTCGTGAATGGTGGCCCAGCGTGTTGGGGTACACTCAGATCGCGTCGGGGACCTGCGCGGCCCCTGCGCGGGAGCTGCCAACTGCTCAGTCGGGCACTTTCGTGGGCTCCTGGAGGCCCCGCAGAGTTGTGTGGTTACACGCAGATCGCGTCGGGACCTCGCGGCTCCCTGCGGGGGGGAGCTGCCAACTGCGCAACTGTC